GAACTGGAGAATGGCATAGACATGTCCACCTCGTTAATGGACGTGCCAAAATGGCACGGGTATACCCACCAGAACTGGTGAAAGGAATCCTAAAGGCCATCAAGCAACAAATGAAAGCAGATGGTGAGTACCGAGAAGTGAATGCATTAGATGCAGGACCAAGCCCGGATGACGATCCACATCTTGAGGACTACGAAGATGAGTACGTGCCGAAGTTTGAAAACAAAGGCGACGAACAGATCTTCTTCGATGAGATCACAGGAGTTCAGTTGGAAACGGAGGAGGTACTGAAAGCGAGACAAGAAGAACTTGCTTGGGTGAAGAAACAGGAAGTCTACGTCAAGCGACCAATAAGCGAATGTTGGGCAGTTACAGGAAAAGCACCCATCACGTTGAAATGGATTGATCGCAACAAAGGCGATTCAACGAAGAAGAACTACCGTTCACGCTTAGTGGTCCGGGAAGTGAAGAAGAAACATGGTTCACTCCCAGGACACCAGCTGTTTTCGAACATGCCGCCATTGGAGGCGGTGAAGCTACTATGCTCGATGTTAGCCACAAGTGGCAGTAACGAGCAGCTGGCACTCTACGACATATCACGTGCGCATTTCTATGGGAAGGCACAAAGAACGGTATACGTCACACTACCACAAGGTGACGAGGAAGAAGGAATGTGCGCACTACTGCAGCGCACCATGTATGGCACGCAAGACGCCAGTCATGTCTGGCAGTCAGACTACAGCGAGTTGTTGAAGAAACACAATTTCGAATGTGGAAAAGCTTGGACATCCGTGTTCTGGCACAAAGAGAAGAACATCAAGCTGCTAGTACATGGAGACGACTTTTTAGTCCTGAGTGACAAGGCAGGACAAGAATACATGCAAAAGGTTTTGCAAGAGAGATATGAGTTCAGATGTGACGGACTCATCGGAAAAGGTGGAGGATCACATCTGACAGTCTTGAACCGAATTGTGACCTACGACCATGAAACAGGAAAAGTGACATACGAAGCTGATCCAAGACACGCAGAAATGATCATCAGACAATTGAACTTGGAAAATGCAAAAAGTGTGGTGACACCGTCGGAGAAGAAAAAGAGCAGTGAAGTGCTGGCATCGGTAGGTCTTCCACCGGTGACGGCAGAACAGACCACACTATACAGAAGTCTAGTGATGAGAGCACAGTTCCTAGCACAAGACCGTGCAGACATAGCAGAAACAGTGAAATCACTGACGAGAAAGATGAAAGCACCAAACGATGCAGACGTCAAGGACTTGAAACGATTAGGTAGATACCTGGTCGGAAAACCAAGGGTCGTGTGCACCTACGAACCTCAGAGGACACCCAAGGTGATTAAAGTCTACACTGACAGCGATCATGCGGGTTGTTTGTTGACGAGGAAAAGCACAACAGGATTTGTTGTCATGATGGGACAACATTGCATCAAACATGGATCGAATCTCCAATCGACCATTGCTCTGAGCTCGGGAGAAAGCGAGTTTTATGCACTCGTACGAGCATCCGCAATTGGTTTGAGCATCAAAGCGCTCATGCAAGATTGGGGAGCCGAAAGGGCATTAGAGATCTACAGCGACAGCAGCGCTGCACGCGGTACAGCGAGCAGACGAGGTCTCGGAAAGCTAAGACACGTCCAGACCCGTTATCTATGGATCCAGGAACGTGTGGCTGAGAACCAGCTGCGGATCTGCCCGATCGGTACGAAGAACAATCTAGCCGATCTATGTACGAAACCCATAGGACGCGAAACTTGTGAGAGACACATGAAGAGCATGTGTCAGGAGTATCGTCTAGGGAAAGCTGTTGGAGCAAAGAAGTTAGAATCAACAAAGGTGTAGCGAAGCTAGCACCTGCGTTGAAGGAGGGGTGTTGAAATTCACACCTCCACATAATTGTCACACAACCACTGTGTTGTACGTATGTTTTGGCTCAAGGGTAAAATAGTTGAGTGTGCTGTTTGCTGTGCATATTTTCTGAAAGCGTATGGACATTTTTTTTGTCCATTAATTATGGGTTTTACCTGTAACGGACGGTTTTTTTGTTCAATTGCATATTTTGGTTTTTGATTGTGAAGAGTTGTTCAAGTCCTTTGACAACAATGGGTTCGGACATCCTCCGACAGTCTCCAAAAGAGACATTTCAGCCTGAAGTGGAGCAAATTGGGATTCGTGATCGGGGACCCAAATCTGGCCACAAATGCTGCCATATTTCCCACCAAATTTGCGTGTACCCATAAAACACTATCACCCCCTCAATATCATGTTGAAAATAAAACAGTAAGCAGACGTCAACATACTGCCCCAAACACCGCCTCTAGACGAGACACAAAAAAACTGTCGGAACCCGTCCGATGAATCCGCGTTTGGAAAACGATTGACCTGTAAGTAGAGGGTCTGCAGCCGGACATGGCAGTATTTGGAAAAAAACGTAACGGACAAAAAAAAATGTCCAAACCCGCACGGACAGAAAATTGTGTCTTTATGGTTTTCCAGGTATATATATATATGTATATATCATATTTTCTCTATCTCTCTCTGTCTATCTATATAGAGATTAATATAGACATGGATATAGATACAGATATTATCATGACTGTCATGCATACACAATATGTGTGGTTATAGATGTTATCAGCAATGCTGTGTAAAATCCTGTCTTTATTGGTGCCCACGGCTTTTTGGCAGAATCAATATCGATCAATTCCAGGTCTTTAACCAACCGCCAGGTAGTTCAGCTGCTGGAAGGGATGAAAAAAGATGCTCGGCAGAGCGTCGTAGCACGGTCCCGGGATTCCTCTACCATGGTGTTTTCCAATGCAGCTGCCAAAATAGACATCAACCATCAAGATTTGCTGAGTATTTTGATCCTGGAGGATTTGGTGATATCTTTGCTGATGCTTAGCAACTTGGATCCCGAAACAATGAGTTTCGTATGGTGGTGCAGCCCTCGGAATGGTAAGTGGGTATCAAAACCCAGATTGATAGGTGCCCAATTCGTCCTATTCGTGGAGGCCTCCGATATTTCTTGGAACCATGATGAATTCTGTACTTGATGATGGGTAATCCCTTCCTCCTAATACTAAACGTCCCCCTAATACTAAAAACAGGCATCCATCTCCAATTTCCGAAAATTTCAGTTTGGCCAATTTGACTTTTAATTGATCCCCTTTAAAAAACAATTTAAAAATCAACCTACCATTTGTGGGTTCTCCCCCCTAATACTAAAAACTAGTTCACCCCGGGGTGTTTAGTATTAGGGGGGCCTAGTCCCAATCCCTCACTCCAAGCTGCCTAGCTACTCTAGCAATTAGGGGTAAGCTTCTAACTGCCATTTTTGGCAATATTTTAATTGCGTTATATAAGGAAATTTAATTGATTTTGAGATCGGAAAAAATAGTTTTTAGCATTAAGGGTTTTAATTTAGTATTAGGGGTAAGCTTCGAACTGCCATTTTTGGCAATATTTTATTGCGTTATATAAGGAAATTTAATTGATTTTGAGATCGGAAAAAATAGTTTTTAGTATTAAGGGTTTTAATTTAGTATTAGGGGTAAGCTTCGAACTGCCATTTTTGGCAATATTTTAATTGCGTTATATAAGGAAATTTAATTGATTTTGAGATCGGAAAAAATAGTTTTTAGTATTAAGGGTTTTAATGCATGAATAACTAATTAACATGACTTCGATTTGGTTCCCTAATAATAAATACCCCCCTAATACTAAAAACTACCTGCCGTGTTTTGTATTAGGGGGGGGGGGTTTAGTATTAGGAGGAAGGGATTAGTGGTTATGTTGGTGGTGGTTTTTGTTGGATCTCAGATTTTGGTGAACGTTTACCAATCTTTCCAGGTGGTTATAGGCTACACAATGCCATGTGTTTTTGTACCATGTGCAAAAGAGTGATACGGCTATTTCTGATATCTTTCTTCAGCCCGTTCGGCAAGGACTTAGAAAAAGAGGCCAAAGAAGACCAAGCTGAAAATGACAAGATGGAAAGCCGCTTGACAGAAACTGACGCCTGCCCTGTCCTGCAAAACCAATTAATTATATAAAATGTCCATGGACATGCCGGGGCTTGCACTGAGGCTGGTGCAAAATGGCCGAAGAGAATCAGACCGGGCCGGGAGGAAGTAGTATAAGTCGACTCAAAATGTAGGCATATCTTTGGAAAGATTGACCATAGATTTTCCCTTGAAACCCCATTCGATGAAGCATCATGAAATTGGACTCCCCTGACTCCGATGTGAATCCCAATCCGTGACCGGCAGGATTATTTCGGAGTCTGAGACGCTGCTTCAGACACAGACGGTGGCTGGGCGGCTGTCCAAAAATGGGATGTACCCGAATACACTGCCATGTTACCATCTGGTTATTCAACATAGCCATGGAAAATGGCCCATTTATAGATTATTTTCCCATTGAAAGCTCCATTTATAAGGGATTTTCCATGGCTATGTTAGTCATAGCCAGATGGTAATGGGAAAACGTTACCTTACTCTTGGACACAAAGAGGGAAGAAAGCCTACAAAGAAGTCCGCGGTGGCACTCGCAATTGAATTTGCAGTGCCAAAAATAAACAAGCAAGGGTATGTATGTAAATTACAAGGGTCCCAGAAAGGTTGCAGCAAGAAAGCACGTCATCAGAATATATCGGCCAATCACATGACCTTTCGACAAGACTTGCGGCCTCATGATAGTCCGTTGGGTGTCCCAGGGCTTCGGTGACCAAACGTGCTGCTGAACTCATCGGTGGTCTTTTTAAATGGATCCAGAAGCCCAAAGATGCTGCAACTGCTTTTCGCAATGGAGTCTTTTTTAATGGCATGCACTCTTGATGCACATACACGTAACTAGTTTCATGTGGTGGGGCGTTGAACTAATAATGACTAACAATAATATCTTATCTTCGGGGTTCACCTTTGGACCTTTAAAGAGACTGGTGACGCGTCCGACAGAGATCCTCCAAGAGTCTCAACTCAGGTGATGGTGAAAGAGAAGACTGCCATGGTCCGGGCAGCCCAGTGATGTCAGAAAGCCTGAAGCTTACGGTAGTTAAGGTGGGGAGCTAAGGAGCCAGGGGTATCCATATTCCATCATATTCCATCAATTCCCAAATTAACAATGTGCCCATCATATTTTTTAAATACCATTGAGTACGCCCTCAGAGAGCTTGATAGACCTTGATTTGGTATCGGATCTAATGTGGGCCCATATGAATTGTTAACTATAGCGGAAGGGCTTACCGAGAATATGGGATTCTGCTGCAAGATACCGTAGCCAGTTGTAACCATCAACCACCATTTATACATGATTCTCTGTAATCTCTTCACTTTAGTTCACAGTACCCCCACATGAAGTCGGTGAAATGCACTAGCCCCCATCGCCTCCGTCAGAGCAGGGATAGATCCAATCATTGGGATGATTAATTTAGGGCTAATTCTCCAGGAAACCATTGAGTTTTTCCAGGGTTTTCCCGGAAAAAACCCACGTGTTTCCATGGGTAAAATGGGTTTATTTTCCCATTTTCCGTGGCTTTTCCATGGCTTTTCCCGTTAAGATCCGTCGGGTCGGGTCGTCGCAATTCGTCGCACACAGGGCGAACGCCTGACGGTGGAGCTGCGGCATTTGGCCCAAGAGATTGCGGCCAATGAGGCTTGGGGACGAAAAAATCATAGGTGGTTTAATGGTGGTTTAATGGTGGTTTAATGGGATGTACCCTCTGGTTATGACTAACATAGCTATTGAAAATGACCATTTATAGTGAGTTTACCCATTAATAGCATGCTGATTTTCCATAGCTATGTAACAAATTACCAGAGGGTACGATATTGATCATTTTTTATAGGATTTTATAGGTATATAAACCATCAACATTCTGGGTGGTAACTGGTAATTTTACAGGTATAAACCTATAGGTATAAACTTACTGGTGCTAAACGTAGGGAATGGATGGGTTGCTGTGGGTTGCTGGGATGATTATTGATAGTTAGCCTGTGGATCATTCCCGAAAATTCCCTGCTAAGCACCAGTAAGTTATAGGTATAAACCATCAACATATGGGTGGTAACTGGTAACATTTGGTAACTATGATTGCTTTTCCAACATGATCATGTTTGTGGAAACCACTGTTGATTGTCATCATTTTCACGGTAAAATCATCTGGTTGGTGGTTTGGAACACGTTTTATTTTTCCATTCAGTTGGGAATGTCATCATAACTATGGTTGATGGTACGCAAATAACTATAGTTACTTGGGCGAATCTAAACCAACAAACATCACTGGGGGGCCTCACATTGTAGAATATGTTACCATATTGGGATTATTCTATATATAGATGGAATTAATTACATTAATTAATGGCCATTAATATGCCCTATTCCAATATGTAGAATAATGGTGAACTGGTAAAATCTATGGTTTGTCATCAGCTTTTCGGCCTTTGATCACCGCCTCACCGCCAGGCCACGTTGGCCAAAGCGGCGGTGTTGCGAAGGGATCAGCGGAAGACCTTTGCGGAGGACGAGAAGTGCGCCATGGGACGACGACGGTGCTGAAGAACCAATGTTTTAGGGAAACATAGGTGTAAGGCGATTTAACCTTATATATATATATATATGTATATATATATAGTATATATATAGTATATGTATATATATAGAATATAACCCTATCTTTGATCTGGTTGGTTAATAGCTATTACTAGATCTATTCTATATTATTCGGCAGCACAGACGGAAGGACTCAGGGGATTTATATAGTTTCCCCCCGTCGGGGAAACTCAAGAACATTCGCCAGTAAATATCATAATCATTTCTATTCAGAATATTCACCATTGTTGACTGATATGGCAACATAGTGAATATCAGTCAATGATAGAATTCATACATGTTTATAGGGTAAGTGCCTCGGTTGTACGCCCGAAACCCGACTCGACTGTACACGCGAGAAAACAACTCAGTTGTGCACGAGGATGCTGATGATAATGATGGTAATGGCGGTTGTGATGATGATGATGATGATGATGATAATGATGGTGATGATGATGGTGATGATGATGATAGTTGTGATGGTGGTGATGATGATGATGGTGGTGATGATGATGATGATGATCATGATGGCGGTGGTGATGGTGGCGGTGGTGATGATGTCGGTGGTGATGATGACAGTTGTGATGGTGGTGATGATGATGATGATGATCATGATCATGATCATGATCATGATCATGATCATGATGAGGTTAAGCAACGGGTGTGGCTGGTAGATCCTGCCTTTTTCTTCCCTAGCCCCACCCCACCCCCCAAGGTTGAAGTGTGATGGTAAGTCGAAGGAAGTGGAGTAGCGGTTGTGTCCCTATAATGAAGTTAAGCAACCGTTGTGGCTGGTAGATCCTTCCCTTTTCTTCCCTGGCCCCACCCCACCCCCCAAGGCTGAAGTGTGATGGTAAGTCGAAGGAAGTGGAGTAGCGGTTGTGTCCCTATAATGAAGTTAACTAGTAGCGGTTGTGTTCCTATAATGAAGTTAACTAGCCCCACCCCCCCAAGGCTGTGTGTGTGTGCGCGGCTGAGTCAATTTTGTGTGCGCAAGTGAGGCGCTTACCTGTTTGGACCAATACTAGATGATATGATATATGACTGATAGAATTGAATATTCACAATATTCATCATTGTTCGGGTATATGTATATAGTTGATTTTGTTTAAGGGATTACTTGGTGGTTGTTACCCCAAGCACGTGGGTAACAAAACCCGAACTAGAGGACCAACCCTACCCACTTGTGACATGGTTGGTTGCTGTTTGGTGGTTTCAAACTATTTGACCATGACTCCAGAAATGGCAGGATCATCCCGACTGACTAATGTGTTTTCTTCCCGGGGTTGAAACCACTAGCCACTTGGGGATCTCAAAGAAAGAAAATGCAGGAACATTTGCCGGAAACAAATTTTGGATAAACATGGGTAAGTTGCGGAAAATCATGAGTTTTATACTAAGTTGTGGTTACTGGTGTTGAATTCCATTTTAAAAAAACCTTCTGTGAAGCCATGACGCTACATGACGCTAGTGTAACCAGTTGGGCCCAGGTCGCTAAAGGACAATATCGATGCAGCAGAGGACCCCAGAGCCAGGTCAAGGTCGTGAAAGTGCACGGTGGAAGAAGTACCCTCTGGTTATGTCAAAATAGCTATTGAAAATCACCATTTATAGTGGATGTTCCCATCAAAAATGGTGATTTTCCATAGTTATGTTAATTTACCAGAAGGTATTTTTGGGGAAGAGCTGATGGATTTTGAATGAAATGTGGGTGATGTCGAGTATTGATTGATATTGTTCAACCACATTCGGATGATGAGGATGAGGATGATGATGCTGCTCCCCCATGACTACTTTCGGGATGGGTTGAATGGTTTCAACATGTTTCAACAATCAGAATGTTGTCTCCCCAAGTTCTAGCCCAAAAACAGTCCAATGAATTTGCGAGTGGGACGGGGAAAAGCCCTGGATCACACAACCGGATCCATAAAATTGACACCGGAGGGGATGGGTACAAAACAAGGCCAGGTACAGATGTAGATCCTAGCGTCCTAGCGGTGAGGTTGAAGCAAAAAAACATGATCACAAGAGATTTATACAGTACTCACCTGTCAACTGAAGGTGCGGATAATAGCGCCCTGTGCACGAAATTTGGTCGGCAACATGTAAACTGGACACCATGGCATCAGGGTTGTGAACCATTGCTACCTGCCACTGCCATTGCCTTGTTTGGGTAAGTTCATTTTTTTCTGGACCAGTACCATAAACCAGCTGCTATGCGCCAGTGATATTATCAGATTTTGTCCCAAATTAGATGAAATTAGTTAGTTTTTTTTAGATTATCAGATTGTGTGCCAATGTCATATTATCAGATTATATGCAACCCCAAAAATTGACATGGAACCTAAAAATAAGTTGGATATGGCCTGGATAATTTCAACAAAAAGGTTCCACGCTAAATCTGGGTTCGGTGGATCAAATTTGGCATTCCTCCATTTGGTCGAAGTACGTCAGATTATAATTATATATCCTAAATTTAGGTTGGTTTACATGGATTTGCTGAAGATCTGTGTTTTTTTTGCGCGTGTGTGTTCTGATTGGTTAATCCTCCATTGATTTAAACCATCCTGCAATGTTGATGGGTAAACCACCAGTTTCCATGATTAACAATGGGTTGGTTGAAATGTGCACAACCTGTCAGGTTGTATTTTTTTTGTGATAATTATATCAATCTTTACCAGATGGTAACATTATTTTATCCCGATTATTGTAATATTCCCTATGGATCCAAGTACCTTCTTAGGAAGTATTTGGGGCATAGTTGAGGGGAAGTTCAGTACCTTATGCATAAGGAAGTGTTTGGATCCATGTCAGTATAGCCAGCATCATTACCCAAGGTCCCTATTTCCAAATAATACCTATAGGAATACAACAACATAGTTAGGTATATGGTATATGTAACATTATTATGTGTGCCTCACCTATCTTAATACCTATCATTTGTTCACAATAATTCATTGCTAATTGACTACACATATATATATATACAATTATATACATATAATTGTTTCATCAATCTGAACATTATACTATAATCAACGGCACGTAAAGATTGGAACTTATATGGAAACTAGTAGTAACAATAATCATAGATCAAGAATTACATGCATAAAAAAATGAACATTATAATGATGGTTGCTATTACTAGATAACTTATTGTGTCACAAAATGATATTAAACATAGTCAACATAGTAACACTATTAATTCAAGATAATCATCATCATGCATTCTTGTTGGGCTACTATAATAACCATCAGCATGATAAAGACCTCCATAGTAACCATCATAGTAACTTTTTTTGATAATAGATGATAAACATAGTCAACATAGTCAATAATGATCATAATCATCATAGTAATAACAATCATAGTAATAGTAAGAATAATATTTATGAAAACAAAACATATAATAACAGCCATTCAATGATGATAGTAATAGTCAAGATAATCAAAATCATAGGCACTATGTTGTTCTAGTGACTTATTATGATAATAACTGATCATAGTCACTAGATCATATTATTAAAAATACAATAACCGTAATAATAACTGATGATAATAATAATTATAAGTCAACAGTCATTATAAAATGTTGATGATAATAACCAATAGCTGATAGTCATAGTCAATGATCAAAGGAAGTTTAGGGGGAGAAACTTCCGTGTTACGGACTTTTAGAATGTCAGGGAAAGAGTTAGTCAAAGAAAGAGTTAGCAAAGAAAGAGTTCGTCAGGGAAAGAGTTAGAAAGAGTTAGTGAGGGAAAGAGTTAGTCAAAGAAAGAGTTAGTCAAAGAAAGAGTTAGTCAGGGAAAGAGTTAGTCAAAGAAAGAGTTAGTCAGGATATAAGGTAGTCAAAGAAAGAGTTCGCAAAGAAAGAGTTAGTCAAAGAAAGAGTCAGTCAAAGAAACAGTTAGTCAGGGAAAGAGTTAGTCAAAGAAAGAGTTAGTCAAAGAAACAGTTAGTCAGGGAAAGAGTTAGTCAAAGAAAGAGTTAGTCAGGGAAAGAGTTAGTCAAAGAAAGAGATAGTGAGGGAAAGAGTTAGTCAAAGAAAGAGTTAGCAAAGAAACAGTTAGTCAGGGAAAGAGTTAGTCAAAGAAAGAGTTAGTGAGGGAAAGAGTTAGTTAGGGAAAGAGTTAATTGTAACTTTTAGACTGTCAGGGAAAGAGCTAGTCAAAGGAAGAGTTAGTGAGGGAAAGAGTTAGTTAGGGACAGAGTTAATTGTAACTTTTAGAATGTCAGGGAAAGAGTTAGTCAAAGAAAGAGTTAGAATGGCATTGCAAGTGGTGCTGGTGGAGGAGTTGCCGATGGAGTTTTGAAGGAAGTCTCGCACGAAATGCGTTTTTGAGAGATAGCAGATGCACGAAACCCTATGTTTTTCCATACAAAGTGCGTCCCCGAACCTCGATGATCTACCTCGGCGGTGCGACGGGTGCGAGACGGTCTCGTGTGTGGTCGGATCATGCTCGGATATGTTCGGATCATTCTCGGATCGGTTCCGCATTGTAAATGGGGTGTCAACTGTTTTTCGTGCATGTGTGGTCGACAGAATTCCATTGTGATTTGCAACTGTAGGATCGTTCCCGCATTGTAAATGGGGTTGCAAGTGGTGCTGGTGGATGAGTTGCCGATGGAAGTCCATTGTGATTTGCAACTCTAGGATCGTTCCCTCACTGTAAATGGGATTGCAAGTGGTGCTGGTGGAGGAGTTGCCGATGGAGTTTTGGAGGAAGTCTCGCACGAAATGCGTTTTTGAGAGATAGCAGATGCACGAAACCCTATGTTTTTCCATACAAAGTCCGTCCCCGAACCTCGATGATCTACCTCTGCGGTGCGACGGGTGCGAGACGGTCTCGTGTGTGGTCGGATCATTCTCGGATCATGCTCGGATCATGGTCGGATCGGTTCCGCATTGTAAATGGGGTTTCACCTGTTTTTCGTGCATTGCGGTCGACAGAATTCCATTGTGATTTGCAACTGTAGGATCGTTCCCGCATTGTAAATGGGGTTGCAAGTGGTGCTGGTGGATGAGTTGCCGATGGAATTCCATTGTGATTTGCAACTCTAGGATCGTTCCCTCACTGTAAATGGGATTGCAAGTGGTGCTGGTGGAGGAGTTGCCGATGGAGTTTTGAAGGAAGTCTCGCACGAAATGCGTTTTTTTCTCCATTTTGGCGCTAGTGATTTTCCGTCTAAAAATCCTTTTACAAAGTGCTTCAAAATCGTCTTTTTTTCGCTCTGGCGTCGAAATCCGGTTTTGGAGCTACAATTTCCGACGCCGTTGCGCGTAGTTCTATTGTGTTTTGCAACTCAGTCTCTGCAGATCGCATTGGAATGGCTGCGTCAAGGTTGCTTCTTGCTTTGGCTGTATGCGTAATGTCTTTTGCAGCTGGATCTCGTAAATCGTCTTGGACTGGCTGCATGAAGGCTGCGAAATGGATTTGTTAGCAGATTTTCTCCATTTTGGCGCTAGTGTTTTTTTGTTGCACGTAGGTTTAGAGCAGTGTGAAGTGTGGGGCGTGAAGAGTGCAGTGTGAAGTGTGCAGTGTGAAGGAAGCAGTGGGAAGTGAGAAGTGTGAAGTGTGGAGTGTGAAGTTTAAGTTTGGAGTGCGAAGAGCGCAGTGTGAAGTGTGAAGTGTGAGGTTTGGAGTGTGAAGGAAGCAGTGAGAAGAGAGAAGTGTGAAGTGTGGAGTGTGAAGTGTGATTTTTTTCAGATTTTGGCTGCTTGCAAACACCAAAGCTTGGCAAATGCAATTTTTGCGTTTTGGCATCGAGATCCGGTTTTGAAAGCTCGTTTTGTATAGCCTGAGGCAGTGCATGTGTAGTTTCAGGTCTGCCAGGCTGTGTGCGAATTGTGCAAGTTCCCGCCGCCGTTGTTTGGGTCATGCATGCGAATAAATCGAGTCGGTGAGAACACGATCATATATAGCAAGTATGCAACATAGCCATCATATATAACGTCTTACGTGAACAAGTGTCAACAAACAGCACGCATGTATACGATACAACCTTGCAACTGCGTAGACTCGCAACGCGTACGTGCGACGTTCTGGTCCGCGGAAGCGTGGGTACGTGCGACGCTGTGGTTAGGCTAGCGCCATGGAATCGTCGCTGTTCGAAGACCTTCTTTGTTTCTTGCAGAAAGAAGAGCTTGTGTTGAAGGCTTTGCGCGCCACGGATTTGAAAGCATGCTTGCGAACAGGGACAGGCACCAGAGGATACGAAGCAAATGCAGAGCGAGCCAAGTATTATAGAATTTACAATAAGATTGAGAAGCAAGTAACGGCTGACCAAAAAGCGACTCTAATGGATTGGGAACGAAGGCTTTGCAGTGAGGCGGAGGACATTGATTTCGCACGTTTGCTTACTATACTTGAAAACCGTCAAGATGACTTGCGACAAATGCAAAAAACAAGTCTCGAAGCATGTTTCAACAGCAGCCTGAGCAATACAGACAAGGATTTGAGTTTTTGCCGAAATTTCTTGAGGCGCAAAAAAAACAGTATGACAGATGAGCAGCAAAAGGTTGTGGATGAATGGGAGGAGATCATTTGTGCCGATGGTGCGGGGTTATGTCCTGCCATCGAGGCAGATTTCGCACGTTTACTATACTTGAAAACCGTCAAGATGACTTGCGACAAATGCGAAAAACAAGTCTCGAAGCATGCTTCAACAGCAATCTGAGCAATACAGACAAGGACTTAAAGTTCTGCCGAAATTTCTTGAGGCGCAAAAAAACCAGTATGACAGATGAACAGCAAAAGGTTGTGGATGAATGGGAGGAGAAGATTTGTGGCGATGGTGCGGGGTTATGTCCTGCCATCGAGGCAGATTTCGCACGCTTGCTTACTATACTGGAAAACCGTCAAGATGACTTGCGACAAATGCGAAAAACAAGTCTCGAAGCATGCTTCAACAGCAATCTGAGCAAGACAGACAAGGACTTAAAGTTCTGCCAAAATTTCTTGAAGCGCAAAAACACAAGTATGACAGATGAACAGCAAAAGGTTGTGGATGAATGGGAGGAGAAGATTTGTGGCGATGGTGCGGGGCTATGTCCTGCCATCGAGGCAGATTTCGCACGCTTGCTTACTATACTGGAAAACCGTGAAGATGACTTGCGACAAATGCAAAAAACAAGTCCCGAAGCATGTTTCAACAGCAGCCTGAGCAATACAGACAAGGACTTGAGTTTTTGCCGAAATTTCTTGAGGCGCAAAAAAATAAATATGACAGATGAACAGCAAAAGGTTGTGGATGAATGGGAGGAGAAGATTTGTGGCGATGGTGCGGGGTTATGTCCTGCCATCGATGCAGATTTCACGCGTTTGCTTACTATACTGGAAAACCGTCAAGATGACTTGCGACAAATGCGAAAAACAAGTCTCGAAGCATGCTTCAACAGCAATCTGAGCAAGACAGACAAGGACTTAAAGTTCTGCCAAAATTTCTTGAAGCGCAAAAACACAAGTATGACAGATGAACAGCAAAAGGTTGTGGATGAATGGGAGGAGAAGATTTGTGGCGATGGTGCAGGGTTATGTCCTGCCATCGAGGCAGATTTCGCACGCTTGCTACTATACTGGAAAACCGTGAAGATGACTTGCGACAAATGCAAAAAACAAGTCTCGAAGCATGTTTCAACAGCAGCCTGAGCAATACAGACAAGGACTTGAGTTTTGCCGAAATTTCTTGAGGCGCAAAAAAATAAATATGACAGATGAACAGCAAAAGGTTGTGGATGAATGGGAGGAGATCATTTGTGGCGATGGTGCGGGGTTATGTCCTGCCATCGAGGCAGATTTCGCACGTTTGCTTACTATACTGGAAAACGGTGAAGATGACTTGCGACAAATGCGAAAAACAAGTCTCGAAGCATGTTTCCAGACACGTGTCAGCAATGCAGACAATGATCTTGGTTTTGGACGGAACTTTTTCCGTCGGCGGAAATATATGTTGACGGATGAGCAGCACAAGGTTCTTGAGGACTGGTCTGCCAAGATTTGTTGCCATGAGCATGTTGATGATGGCTTTCGGCGCTTTCTTTCAACTTTGCATGCTCGAGCACAGGAGCTGTCTGCCTTGCGCAAATGTGACCTGAAAGGCATCTTTTCGTCCCATATTTGCAAAAAAGATTCGGAGTTGAAATTTTGTCAAAACTTTTGGCGGCGCAACGCAGAAAAATTTAGTCCCGAGCAAAAGGAACAAGTGGAGGATTTGAAAGCAGGAATTCTTTGGCCTCATGCGCAAGACGATCGTGCGGCGTTGCGGCCCGCGGTTGTGAGGATGTTGGACAAATTTGAAAACATACTTGCACGCAGAGGCGCAGAATTTCGCGGCTTTGGGGCTGCAAGTGTTTATGGTCTGTTTACCGGGCACGCGAAGAAATCTGATTCTGAGGTTAGATTTTGTTACGATTTTGTCAGCCGTGTGTTTCCCAAACTGGAAGATTCGGAGCAACAGCGACTTCGCATCAAACTGGATGACCTGTTGTTAAAAAGCTGCTCTGTGCCCGTGAAAAGTAGTTACCAGGCCAAACTACACGATGCAGAGACTGTCTTGGGCGACGCTCTTCCACGCCCAAGACTGCCGAAAAGTTTGCGTCATTTTCGTTTCTGTGTGCGTTGTTACGAACCACACAAGAAACCATGATCGTATTGCATACATGTGACAAAAAAAAGGATCTTTCAGATTTTGGCTGCTTTCATTTTCTATTTAAAATCAACTTTTTCTGCTCTGGCGTTGGAGTGTGAAGGAAGCAGTGGGAAGTGTGAAGTGTGAAGTGTGAAGGAAGCAGTGGGAAGTGAGAAGTGTGAAGTGTGGAGTGTGAAGTTTAAGTTTGGAGTGCGAAGCGCGCAGTGTGAAGTGTGAGGTTTGGAGTGTGAAGGAAGCAGTGTGGAAGTGTGAAGTGCGAAGTGTGAAGTGTGAAGTGTGGAGTGTGAAGTTTCAAGTTCGGAGTGCGAAGAGTGCAGTGTGAAGTGTGGAGTGTGAAGACTTTGCTTCGTCTCTCGCTGAAAAAATCAAACGGTTGTCGAGGTTTGGAGTGCGAAGCGCGCAGTGTGAAGTGTGAGGTTTGGAGTGTGAAGGAAGCAGTGGGAAGTGAGAAGTGTGAAGTGTGAAGTGCGAAGTGTGAAGTGTGAAGTTTGGAGTGTGAAGTTTCAAGTTCGGAGTGCGAAGAGTGCAGTGTGAAGTGTGGAGTGTGAAGACTTTGCTTCGTCTCTCGCTGAAAAAATCAAACGGTTGTCGAGGGAAGGACACGGTCGGGACAGGGTGTCTTTGAACTATAGGTCATTTATGTTTGGGAAACTTCCGCCGCCGGCTTGCCCGGGTCTATGTTAATAGTCAATGATAATCAGTGACTCATTATGAAAAAAACTGATCCTTATTGTTTGAGTCACTATTATGATAATAGTCAATGATAATAGGCTCAAAAAATGATTATCATAAATAGTTTATCATAATATCCTGAGGTGACTCAAATCATAAACTATTATGAAAAACTGATCCCAGGTGACTCAGGCCTTGAGCAGCTTCAACGGCACCTCGCTACTACAGTCGCGTAGCCAGGTCATGTCCAGGCCGCAGTCCCCGGGACTGCACGGTTGCGCGGGTCAAAAGTCAAAATGCTGGCGCGGGAAGCAGTCAAAAACTGAGGATGTTCGCTTATTTTTGATGATTTGTTGGAAGGTTTTGTTTGATTCTTCATGATTTTAGTGTTTGTTTCCTGGATTTCTACTGGTTTTTGCCGATTTTATTCAGATAGATACGGGTTTTATTTATTTGGGCGAATGGTGATTCATATGATTTAATGGGGATCGACCTATTTGGAGGATCATCCCACTTGGTATAGGTGCAATGTAGAGCCCCAAAGGAAGATAAGTTGGCTAACTCGGAAGGCTGGGGTGGTAGTTATAGCTATATAGGTAGATTGTTTTTTTTCATGGTTTTTCACTAACTTATAGCTTGGCGGCCACACCGGGTCAATAACCTTAATTCGCAAGTCCCCTATTCGTCCGCTACACCTTTGCAGCCGTGCCATGAAGCGGAAAGCCGGAAGCGGTCAGGTGGCAGACAGTTCCATCGAACAATATCGGTCTCCTTACCAAGTGGACGGTGTGAATCAATATCGGTCTTGCAGTTTGGCACCATTCTGGACTTGAAAACAGCTGCACTTTCTGCTCCGACATGGAGACAACATTGCTGCTGTAGCACAACAGCCAAAGTTAGCTGCAACTCAGATTGCGTTTGCTGTGTGGTGCATTGGAGCTGACAAGGTTGTCACTTGGGGCCATCCAAAGCAAGGTGGTGACAGCTTCGAAGTCAAAGATCAGCTCAAGAATGTTCAGCAGATTTTTAGCACATATCGTGCCTTTGCTGCGATTTTTGGCAGATGGAAGCGTGGTGACCTGGGGCGAACCAGACTATGTTTGTGACAGCTGCGGTTTTGGCAGATCGCAGTGTGGTGACATGGGGGGAGTCAAATGAAGGTGGTGACATTTCCTGAGTCCAAGATAAGCTGAGAAATGTGCGGCAGATCAGTGACGTTCAGGATTAGTTTTTGCTGCCATTTTGGCAGATGGAACTGTGGTGATCAGTTTAGGTACATTTAGCCGCACGTCAGGGCCAAAATGAAGATGTTCTGCCGCCGACATAGCGGTTCCTGGTGGTTCTTTTGGGTGTTGAAGGGAGGAAACACCTTGTTTCGGAAATTGACCCAGATATAACCAAGATCAACCAAGCAAAAGAAAACTGAATTTGACATGGAAAATGACATGATTCAACTCGCACTTTCCGGATTTCAACCCATTTCAGCCACAGCAAATGCATCCACTGCATCCGGCGAATCCAATTTTCCAGCAGGGAACAACATGGAACCAACATCAGAATGGCTATGAATG